AAACAGCAACATTACAGACTAACTAAAGTTGAAAAAGTGAAAAAGCATAATAGGACCCCTTTAAGGATTTTTTTTATTTTTTTATACAGTAAACAATTTTAACAATAAACAACACCACTGAATGCTGGTTGTTTCAGGACAGAAACTCACATTCAGGTCCATTTTGCTATTAAATGCCCAATTTTCATGATCAAATCAAATGAATAAAATCAAGTCCCGCCTTAAGTTTTTTTTTTTGTCCTATAGTTGAATCTCGTTTCACACATCAAAATGGATTTGAATGCCATTTTATGCTGACTTTAATCTGAATGTCATATGGAGTTTGCATATATATTAAATTGCATCAAGTAAGACACCTTCCCCTAAAATATACCACAAATTAATTCCAGCCACAACAATTTATATCTCAAATGGTGGGCGATGCCAAGAAACTAGTGTCAACCTCAGATGCCACGGCCACTGGATGCAGATTGTGCACAAAAAAGCCACTGGATAGCTGACAAAGTCCATTTCCATCTGCAATAATGAGTTCTTCTGAGGATAAACTATTCGCTGAACTTGCCAGAGATTCATGGAATTGGTAAGCAGCTGGTTGACATGTCAGATATAAAATATGGCCCTTCCAGTCAAAGTCAGCTTACTGTAAGTTTAATTCAAATCTGTCGCAGGTCCCAGAAGGGGCAATTGATGGCCTGGAAAGTTGCCCCACTGTGGCCTTGAGCCGGGTGTTTAACCCCAGGACTTCGCCTGTGGTAAGTGTACTTTGTCAGTCGCTGTGCATGAAAAGAAGCGTCTGCTAAATAGCCAATAACCAAACATCAAGGAGAGGTCAGTCTACCCACAAGCCCCTGCTCCTTTCCTCTGGGGGTGTCTATGTGTATCCTCAAATTAGAGTCATCGCAATCAGAATGTCATCTCAGACACAAAGATACCCGCACATCAAGACGCGGAGGATGGAAAACAAACAGCCGATGACTGACAGCTGAGAAAGGTAACAGTCTGAGATCCCAGCACAAACAATTCATCGACTGGGATCTGCCAATTACAGGCTTTCAGCGGTGAAACAATGATGAATCATGATGGTAATATATAATGCATAGCCTGTTGAGCTTTTGCGAAGGCAAGTATTTCAAACTTGCACATTTCCTTCAGCTCGCATAGAATAATCTCTTATTTTCCATGGTTTAAGCTGTTAAAGACTACAGGCAGCTCAGCTAGCTTGAAGCGGTGTAAATCAGCGGATCAAGTCAGTGTAGGGTTGTTTTCAGACAGGCAGAGATGAAGGTGATTTTCGTGCATAATGAGATTGCGATGCCATTTCCAGACCCCTTTGATAAGTCCGGTTTTCTTATCTCACCGAGACAGACTTGAGACAGTACAGCAGGACACCTGCTTACATTAACAGCGCTCTCATCACCGGCCAGCAAGATCTTCAGTAATGTGATTATGGATACCAGGAATCTCTGTTTAAAGTTTGCCATTGTCATATGCTAAAGACTGACAACAACAACAAACACTTGTTAAATTCTACTAGATATTTTAAAGGAGTCGTATAATACAATTGAGGACAGGATATATAGGATTTACTATAGATTTACTCAGAAGTTAATAGTAAAATTCACAAATAAATACAAAAAAAATGGCAAGTAACACATTGAATAAAACGTACAATTTTGAAGTAGAATGACAGAAATATTATCTTTTTGTAATACATATCCTACTCCAAAAATCTTTTTTTTTTTTTTTTACATAGATTTTCATGATTATTTTCCTACAAGGCTGTTTTTGTTGCTGTGCCTTTAAAACTTTAATACAACCACCTTCTTCACATGTGAAAGGAGTTTTAGTAATTTGTTGCACTCACACATGGGCTGCTGTTGGGTTTAATATAGTTATTCAATAACAGCCTTCACAACATCACAC